TGATCCACCTGCCTCAGTCTCCCAAAGTGCTGGGATTACAGGCATGAGCCACCACGCCCAGCCTTGTTTTTGTTTTCTGAGACGAAGTCTTTTTCTTTCACCCAGGCTGGAGTGCAGTGGCGCTATCTTGGTGATCTCAACTCACTGCAGCCTCCGCTTCCCGGGTTCAAGCGATTCTCCCACGTCAGCATCCGAGTAGCTGGGATTACAGGCACACACCACCATGCCCGGCTAATTTTTGCATTTTTAGTAGAGACGGGGTTTTGCCATGTTGGCCAGGCTGGTCTTGAACTCCTGACTTCAGCTGATCTGCCCACCTCGGCCTCCCCAGGTGCTGGGATTAGGCCTCCCCAAGTGCTACGATTATAGGCATGAGCCGCCACACCCGGTCTCAGGCATGACCTTGATGCCCATTTCACAGGTAAGGAATCAAGCTCAGAGAGGGGCAGCAATTTGTCCAAGGCCACAGTCCGGGTAGGGAGCTGGCGTCAGAACCCTGGGGTCGGTCCTGCCTTGTGTCACCCACCTGCCCGGGCCTGCAGCCACAGGCTATGGCCCACCTGACTGGACTCTGTGGACAGGGCCTCCAGGGTCCTGGCTGGAATGCTGACTGGGGATGAAAGAAGCCTAAAGGGTGTTTGGGATGCAGCAGCCCCTCCACCGTACCCCAGCTCTGGAGGCTCCCAGGCCCTGTGTCCCCAAGGACCCTGTGTCCCCCACAGCCGGGGCGCCCCCAGTGGCCTGGTGTGCAGAGTACTGTGGTCAGTGCCGCCCTCACCAGGCCTCTGCGTTTTCCATCTTAGGGACGGCGTGTGGCCGCCTCCCGGCTCCCTCCCCTCCCAGGGCCCCAGTCTCTCTACTACAGGATGAGGGATGAGCGCCCGAGGAGCCCTGTGTGCCAGGCCTGCCCCCTGTGCCCCCTGAGGCTTACAGGCCTCTCCAGGCCTGACTCCATAGCAGGAGGGCACCAGTGAGAAAAGAGAGCTGTGGGTGCCGGCCCCTCCCCTCCACCTGCCCTGCTGGTGGTCAGCCAGAGCCCTGTGCCCCATTGCAAGTGGATGGGCCCAACTCCTCCCCACTGCTCCAGACCCACCTGCCATGCCTCCTTCCCCCAAGAGCCCTTCCTAACCCCCAGGCAGAGAGAGGGTGCCCACCACACCCTGGCACAGGCCTACTGGGGTCCAACCCTGGGTCCCCGGTGAGCCCAGCAGGGCCTGGCATGGGGTGTCCTTTTGGGCCTGGCCCAGTGAGGGGGTTTGGAAAGAACTGGGATGTCTATTTCTGCCTGCCCATGCTCCTCAGCTTCCTACAGGCCACCTCCCAGGACAGAAGGGGCCACTGTCCCCGGAGGAGGCCTCAGCCACACCCTCCTCTTCTGAAGCACCTGGAATGACCCCAACCACTGGCTAGGCCTGGGCCTAATTGGGTCAGGGGTCTGGGTTGCTCTGAGGAAGGGAGCTGGGGGAGGCCCAGGCCCCCCAAGCAACTCCTGCCCGGTACCCTACCTGCCACGTGACTTCAGGCCACTGTCTGGGCCTCCCAGGGTGAATGGGGGAGACACCTCATGGGGAGACCTGCACTCTTGCTGCCAAGGGCGCTCATCTCCCCAGTGCCCACACTCAGCCCTGTGGCCACCACCGTCTGGCCTGTTTGGCCTGTTTGAAGGTCAGGGTCCATCCCCAGCCAGAGCTGAAACTGAAACCTGGAAGCACTTGTTTTGAGACTGAAGAAGCAGGTGAGCTTGTCACTATGGCATCCCCTGGCCCCGCCCCATCCCCACCTGGAGGAACGAGCCCCGGACTGCCAGGAACCACCGGGACGGGCTGGCACCCTGCCTCGCCTGGCTCGGACATGCTCCTGGAAGGAAGGGAACTGTGGGGTCTGGGCTGGACTCTCTGAGTCCTGGGGCCATCTGGGCTCCAGGGGTGACCCTGGACGAGGGGCTCAGTCACAGCCATGTGGGAAGGTGCTGATCCCAGATCCTCCGCTGTTCCAGAACAGACGGCCTGGGACCTGCCCGCAGCCACCCAGCAGCGCAGGGGTCCTACTGGGTGCCCCGCATGGCTGGTTCCCGAGGTCCCTGGGCCCAGTGGCCATGGTGAGGAACTTGGGGAACCAGAGGGAGGCAGAGGCCAGGTGTGGATCATGGCCTGACCCAGGGCTCCCTGGTCCATCCCGCAGCCCCCTGTCCACCCTGGGGTGGGCACCATCATTCCAACACCCACACTTCTGCTCACACAGCCCCTGCCAGGCGCCTGCTGCAGGCAGAGATTCCAGTCTACTCATTTCTTTGTCCAGGAGCGGTCAGGTTTCCCTCCCAGCAATCTTCCCCATCTTCCCCAGCACAGATCGGAGAAGCCTCTCACCTCTGGGACACAGAACCTGGGGTCCACCCCCGCAGCCAAGGCCAGACATGCCCCCTGGGGTTCCCTCTATGGTGGGGACAGGCCCAGGCCACCCTCTAGAGATTATGGAAGCACTTGGCCAGGTGGGGGCTAAGTTTGCCCCACGGGTGCCACAATTTTGAGCCACCAAGTCCCTGAGCCCTGGGGTCAGCACCCTGGGGTGGGTGGGGTCTCGGGCACGCCTGGCACATCCTAGCCCCAGTCGGCACACACACCAGAGCCGATATCCCTGGCCTGAGCCCTTGCCACCTGCCAGGCCAGCTACTTCCCCCGGATGCCTCTGCTTAGCTTAACCTCCGCTGCCTCCTGGGTGGGAGTGAACACAGGCCCAGGCAGCAAGAGGCCCAGAGAGGGTCCCAGGCCTCAGGATCAGGGCCCCACCCTCAGCGCCCTCCCCATCCCCCTTCCTCGTGCCTGGTCCACGACCCCAGCCAATGTCCTGGGGCTCTACCTGTCACAGGCTGCTCTGAGCCAGACACAGGCACCCCCGTGAAGGGCCCAGGGTTGCACCCAGCTGGGACACACACACTGGCCTCCAGGCCTGGCAGCAGCATCCTTCCCTTTCCCTGTCCTCAAGCCAGGCACTGGGTTCTGAGCCCACAGAGCTCGGACCTCACTCTCCCTCTCTGATCAGACCCTGAGGCAGGCAGGCCTTGGCTGGAGGGACGTCAGGAGAGCAGAGGACCAAAGGCTGGCGGGATGCAGGAGGCTCCGCACTGTGGGGTGCGGGAAGCCAGCCTTGAGGAGGTGCCTCAGGAGCCCATAGGGGGTGTAGCGTCAGGAAAAGGTGGGCCTGGCTGGAAGGGACGCGGTGACGTGGCTCAGGTGCTGCACCTGGGGAGAAGGGTTGGGATCCCGAAGGTGCGGACTGGCAAAGGCCCCACATCCAGGACTGGGAGAGAGAGCCTGGCCCTCAGGAGGCTGGGGTTTGGGTGTGGGGCACACAGCAGGCACTGGGGGCCAGCGGGCTGGGTGGGCCCGTCCTCAGTCTCAGATGAGACTGGGTCATGTCCCCACCAAGCTGTAACACGCTTCTGTACTCTAAGACTCGGGTGGACACGGGCCCTGACCTTGACCCCTGAGCCCGCACAGCCTGCACATACCCACCCCCTATGAGGATGCCTCCCTACATCCACACCCCACCCCCGGGGCCGGGGAGGCATCCAAATCCCTGCCCTGCATCTGCTGAGCCTCCCGGGCCCCTTCCCGCTGCACAAACCTCAGGCCCTGCTTCCGTTCAGCCCAGCCTCAGGGCCTCTGGGCCTCCCAGGTCCCACCCCGGGGCAGCCCACGGCTCCAAGGCCCTAGGGCTCAAATCTCAGCCCTGTCCCCTATCTGTGCAGAGGTAGGAGAGCCAGCAGCAGAGCAGAAAGGGCCTCATCCCACACCCAGGCTTGTGCTGGGCGCTCCTCACTGCTGTCCCTGTCCCTAATCCTAACACACACTCAGACCCAGGGCAGAGGTGCTGGCACCAGGGGCCTGAAGGCAAGGCACTAAGGGCAAGGGTGGAGGAGGATGGCCCCGCACAGCTGGGATGGAGGCTGCTCGGCGGCCCATAGGCCTCCAAGTCACTCCCAGAGCAGCCTCCCAGTCCCCTGGAGCCACAGGAGCCAGCTGCAGACAGACATGTCTGGTGTTAGACCCGGCACTGGCTCACCCCACCCAGGACCTGGTCCCTGGACCTGTGCAGCCTGGAAGAGTCCGGGGAGGGTGGGCAGGAAGGCGCAGGGGCCTGGGCGCGCAGGCCAGGGGCTGGGCTGGGCTGGGAGGCTGTGGGCCTGGAGCCCGGCTGCCCCCTTGCTGGGTGCTGTCGCGGGGCATTCCCCAAGGCCATGGCATCACTATGAACCTTGAGGCCTCGCGCTACCTAGGCTTGGAGGAGGGCCTGGGTCAGCTTCTCAGCCACAGTGGCCCAGGCAGAGGGCGGCCGGGGCAGGGCTGACCTGGGGGGACTCATAGGGAACCGGGAGAGCACGGGTCCCATCTGTGTGCTGGGAAGACCCCACTACGGTGAGGACAGAGGGGTGGGCAGCTCTAACCCCAACTGGGCCAGCAAACGGGCCCCACGCCAAGCTCCACCCTGCATGCACTAGGACCCTCCCAGACCCTCCCCTGTGAGCGGGTGCTGGGAAAGGCAGGACAAGCAGCATCGCCGGCTACTGGGACTCTTCCGGAATGGGACCCCCACTCAGCTCCCACAGGGGGACACCCACAGTTGAGGCTCTCAGGGCCTTGTTGATCCTTTTAGTGCAGGAGAGAGAGATCGGTCTGCCGGGCCAGTCCCCCACACAGCCTGACAAGTCTGGACTCACTCAACAGAGGCCGACCCCGTGAGCAGAGGACTCGAGGCCAGGCAGGGCCCAGGGCCGGCACCTGACGGGGAGACCGTGATGGTGGGGGCAGCCAAGCAGGCAGCGTCCCCTGACCCTCGACACCTGCGGGAACTGCTGGCCCAAGGGAGAGCCCGGCCTGGCCTTGGTCTCCACCTCTCAGGACCCTGCTCAACTCCCTGCGCTGCAGGGCTGGGGAGCCAAGGCCAGGGTCCTCGAGGCTCCAGCTGGCCAGAGGGTGACATGGGACACCAGAGAGGACACAGAGAGTTCAGATCATTTCATTCAAAACCAGCCCAGGCCACGCCCGGTGGGATCCTGCACACGCTGGGCCACGCTGCCCACCGCTCTGCCACAGGGCTGTGGCCCGGAAGGTGAATGAGGGCTTAGCGGACGGCCCCCCATGCCAGCAGCCGGCCCAGAGCCACCCCAGGGCTCGGAGTATTATTCCTGGGCCTGCCTGGCCTCGGAGCTCGGCGCCCTCACCTCCTCGGAGACCAGCAATGGCGGCGCTTCCTGGGCTTCACCTTGAGGATCCCCAGGGATGGGGCGAGCTGGGGCTTGGAAGGGGGTCGGCTGCCACAGGCTCACATCACGGCCTCCATATGCAGGATCCTCAGGGCCTCAGAGATCTGCGCGCTGGGGTCCATCTGGCCGTACATGCCCACCAGGAAGGCCCGGTGCAGCAGCACAGCCGCATGCTCTGTGGGGGAGACGAGACGGGGCCCCGCACGTCACGCTGACCACAAACACCCTGGCCGCAGTGACCAGACCTCGGGACTTGCAAGAGCCAGCTCTCGGGAGACGCGCCTCCGGCCTCCCCGGGGGCTGCCAGGGCCCCAGACAGGGGACCTGTCCTCACCTTGGCACAGAAGAGTGTACTCGGGCAGGTTCCTGAGGGCCGTTTGCACCACCTCAAAGTCCTGGCTGCCGAGGCAGTACATGAATGTGGGCAGGAAGTCAGCTGCAATGCTGAAAGAGCCACGCACTTCAGTGGGCACCTCCGCCCTGTGCCCACGCCAGACCCCCACCCAACAGGGCGAGCTGACCCGCCTGGAAGCCTGGTCTGGCCACCAGGTGGGTCAAGCAGTGACCTGGTTTAGCAGGGCCCGGTGGAGGCAGCGGACAGAGGCCGGCGGTGGTCTCACCTGGGGCTGTTCTGGATGGAGCGCAGGGCCAGGCTGAAGGCCAGGTTGCGGCAAGACTCCTCGGCCGAGCTCATCAGCCGCTGCAGGTTGGTCTGACCGGGGGAAAGGTGGGAGGTGTGTGACTGGGGGGTCCAGCCCCCATCGAGGCCCCTTCACCTCTTGGTCTCTTGATGGCCGATGGCAATGGCAGGGACCCTAGGCTCCTATCCAAAAGGCAGGACGCATGCGCCATCAGCCAGTCCCAGCCCAGGGCTAAAGGTGGGCCTGCCCTGGCAGCGGCTCAACTGTGAATGCCTGGGCTGGGGCCCCACCCGAAGCCTGGCCTCAGAGGACTCCCTGGGGCTCAGGGCGAGCACACCCTGTTGGGGGCAGTGGCCCTGCTGAGGTTCTCCAAGGGATCAGCTCCTCCCAGCTCTCCCTCAGCCCCATCCAGCTCACCGAGAAGAAGCCCAGGATCTCGGGTCTCCGCCGGGACATCTCGTCTATGTCACTCAGAACCTCCAGCAGATCTAACACAGAGAGAGGGCCAGGCCGGAGCTGAAGGGCCCAAGCAGACCTCTGCCCACCCCACCCCAGCCAGCCACCCAGAGGGGGCAAGGCCCCGAGCACCACAGGACAGAAATCACGGGAAAGCCTGAGCCCAGTGATACCCGCAGCAGTGAAGCCCCCAAGCTCCGCAAATGCCCGTGCCTGCCCCCAAGCTCCGCAAATGCCCGCCCCTGCCCCTACTCGTGGTCTCCAAGGAAAGAGACTGATCCCTTGCGGCAGCCCCACATCCAGGGTGCTCTTAGCATCAAGTGGCCCCACGGCCCGACTCCACCTGGGCCACCCAGCCTTGGCTCTTCTCTGAAGGCGGCCACCAGTCCTGCCTACCCGCTGGTCCTGCCCACCTGCCTGACCTCTTCCTGCCACACTCCCACCCCCTCAGGGTGCTCCCCTGCCTTTTGCTGTTTCTGAAGCAGAGCAGCACCCTCCAGCTCCCCTGGGCCCCTGAGTTTCTAAGGCCCTCTCTGGGGTGCTCCCCATCGTGAGGAACGGCCCACCCACCCACAGCCCAGCGTGGGCCGTGCTCACGCCCCAGTCAGTGCCGGGAGAGCTGCTGGTTGCTACCCGCAGCCACATGGGACCCAGGGCGCCGACCTCCAGTGGGTGAAGCAGGGCTCGACTCACCCTCCACCGTTTGGCCCCGGGAAAGCCGCTTCATGTAGGGGGCCATCTCGGCAGCGGTCAGAGGGGTGAACAGGGAGACGCTGACCAGGGGCAAGGAGCCGGCTGAGCTCTCCTCTGGAAGACAGTGGCAGTGCTGCAGGAGGGCGGGAGCGGCAGGACGTGCCACACTGAAGCACCAGGGCCTGCCCTCCCGACAGCACAGTGGCCACTGCCCAGGCTCCCAAGGTGGCAGCACACAGCAGCGCTCCACAAACAGGGTAGAGCCAGGAGCCGGGAGCCCCCTTTGGATCCGACGCATGCACCTCTGTGAGTCTCTCCCTGCTGTTTCTCGAAATGTGGGCCATGACCCACTGGGCACAAGGCAGGATGGCCCCTTGGGACCCGGGCCTGGCACTCTTCCGGCGGCACAGGAGAGACGTGCTGCGGTGCCATGTCACCTCAGGCAGGGAAGGACGGGAGTGAAAAGCCAATGACGAGCCCTGCCCAGTAGGACCAGGGGAGGATTCCTGGGGAGGGACACCTGGGACAAGCGCTGGTGGGTGGTGGATGTGCCAGGAGCGGAGGCGATGTGC